ATCTTGGTAGATATAGGTAGATGGGTGAATATAGGAACAGAGTGGTTAAATAGGGAATCTACAAGTAGATTCCAGGTATGGCAGCTAGTGTAGAACCTTCGGACAAACTACTTAAATTAGACAATGACTAAAGTTGTACAAGTGGCTAGTCGTACACTCTTTTTATAGTTGCTCACTGTAGTTGTAATGCAACTATTAGCTGAATGTACTATCAATAAAATCCTAGATCGCAAGTACTCATCTTAATATTTAAAAAAAAAAATTATTTACTATTTAACAGACAGATTATCAATTAAATAAAATTTAATATAATAGTTTTTTTTTGAATTTTGATAATATTATCTATTAGTTTATTAAATTTTAAATTTGATATAGTACAATTTTTCAATTATATTTACAGAATCAATTATTACTAGTATTATATTTGCAATTCTAATTTTATATTGCTAACTTTATTCAATTACTTATATAACACTTAAGTTTATAATTATTATATGTTTGCATATAGTTATTTTGGCAACTACTTGCAGTTAGTTTATATTATTTTTATTTTTTTAGTATTAAGGTGACCTCTTTGGTCTTTTAACTTTTATTAATTACTTATTGGTATTGTGGTTTAATGAATTACTACAGAAGAGTATACAATTAGCTATACATATAAGTTTTCTATATTACTTATTTAAAAAGTTCACTTGAAGGTTCCTTACCAATTGCTATATCTAACATCCTTGCTTAAGTGTTCTATTTTAAATTCTCTAAACCTGTAATCTGTATTAACTTACTAGATTATATCCAGATGCCCAGATTATCATTTCAACCTTAAGACTAATTTATTCTTAAGATAAAGCTTCTAGAGTCTTTTGTACTTATTTTTATATCTGACTTAGATATTGCTATAGCAAAACCAACACTTGTGGTTAGGGCTTAACCATTAAACTATTATTCCTTGTAGAGTTTACTTAGATTCCAGCATCTACTTCACAATATAACCCCAGTACTTTAGTATATCTCTGCTTTTTTATCTGCCTTTTACTAAACTCCTAATTTAGATAGTTCATATAGGACTATAATTAGTCCATCAATATATCAGATTAGCCTAATATTTTTTTCTTTTGGTTTGTTTTGGTGGCCTGATTGGTAGTATTCTCAAAACTTTCAACTTGGAGGTTCTTGCCTATTTGGCTACTATGACTAGGTACTATAACCTTGGTATTTGTTTTTTTAAGCTAGCCTTTACAGTAGAGCTGTTAAAGATCTAGTCATCTTTCTATTTGGATCTTCCCAAATAGACTTCTTGTTACCTAATTTCAATGAATTTATATGGCTACAAGGACTTATCTAGTGTTTGCACTATCTAATTTGTTAGTTTGCATTTCTCTATATAATGCCATACTTACACAGATGTTTTATAACCTGTTAGTCATGCTGGTGTGACTGCTATTACAGGTATTCTAACCCAATTGTTAGTAACAATTGCCATAATATAAATATTATATAGATGATTATTCAAATTTTTATTGTTGATAGAATTTGAACACTCACTTACTATTTTGAAGTTGACAACCTAACCACTTCACTAGGTTATCACACTCTGTTAGAGCATATTATTAAACTATTATACAGATAAGAATATCTATTAAACTTAATATAGTATTTTAATATCAAAGATACTATCTTTTATAATTGTATTCATATATCTTATTTATATGTTTTATCTGATTTTGTTTCTTTTTTTGTTTTCTAATCTAACTATATCTAATAATATTGTTTTTCATATTTCTCACTTTTTTTTTATTGTATTACTTTTAAATTAGTTCTATTTAAATATGTTTAATTCTTATAATCTCTTATTTTTGATATATTTATTATTAATTTCTTTAAGATGTTCTAACAATAGTTTAGAATCTATAATAAACCTATATTTTAATCCAAATCTGCTATTATTATTAATTCTTTTAATTAATTTGTATTTTAAGTTAGGTCTGCTATTATTGTTCTTACAAATGTTCTAGGTTATAGCATCATATAGTAACTTAATACTATATTTAACCTTTAACAAGATGTTTCTTTTTATAATAAAAACTAGAACTTGTTATATTTATAAACAGAACAATTCTGATTATATTTAAAAATTTTTTTGATCTTAGTAATACTATATTACTTTGTATTGCAAGCTTTTAGCTTATTCAATAATATCTGCAAAACAATTCTGATTATGTCTAAGAAGTTATACTAACCTCAGTAATATTATATTATTTTTTAAATCTTATCTTATATTGTTTAGTTAATCTTAGTTTTATTTATTATAAACTTCTATATAGATATTATTAGAACCTAATTTGAAATCTTTTTTTTATACAAAAAAGTTATATATCAGCCTTCAAAATTTTTTTTTAATTAAATTATTTAGTTATATTAGAGATGCTTCTAATTTTGGTCAAACTAATCTTTTATTACAGATCATTTTTGTGTTTACTATTATTTTTATTATTTCAGTTTTAATTATTTTTAAATTATTCTTCTAATCAAATTCTTTTCTTGAATCTAATTAAAACTTATTTATATAAACCATTAGTTATTTTTCCAAACAAGTACTTTACAAGTTAGATACAAAAATGTTAGTACTGCCTATATTAAATAGTATAAAAATATTAGTGCTATTCTAGTTTTAAGAACTTATATGCACAATCTTTTTATAACTGTAATTTTGTAAAATATTACTGTTATACATATTGCTTGTACTTTATAATTAAATTTTCTTTCAAAAATTTTTTTATTTAAATTTATATCTATATTTAGACTTTTCTATAAGACTTTATATCTGATTAATAACTTTAATAGATTACAAAAACAAAATTGCCTTTAGTCTGACTTAAACTATTAATTTTATTTGTAAAGAGTTTGAGAGCTTATTTATTAAACTATAAGATTTAAACTCTTTGAATATTTTTTAAAAAAATATAAAGCTATTCAAAGTTGATTTTTTTAGTTCTTATAATTAGTTGAGATATTTTTTCTAAAAATTAAAATTAAAATTTTTTTTATATATAATTAAATTTTTTTGTTAATATATAAAAAATAAAAAAAAATTTAAAAAAATTTTAATTAGATTATATAAACTTAATTAATTGGTTTTATAATCTGGTTAGGTTAAATTTTAAAAGCTTATAAAAAAATTTTTTATGTTTTAATAACTGAATAGCTTTTTAAAAAAAAATTTAAAAAAGCTAACCAGTTAGATTTGTTCAAAAGTATTATATTATAAAAACCAAAATATTAAATTTATATAGCTTTATATAAAATATTTTTATATATAGAATTTTTATTTAGTCTATTGAGACATTTTTTTATTTTATATTATAAGAATTAGAAAATTAACTTTATTTTAAGTTAAATTTAATATATATATATTTGAGTATTGTAATTTATTATAATAGTAATATAGAGTATAGCAATCTAATAAAGTAATCCAGTTGTTAACCTCTTTAAGTAATAAGTTAAGTATTCAAATCCTATTAATAGCAAAAATTTGAATAATCACCTATTTAATATTTGGATTATGACAACTATTATTAATAATTAAATTAGGATATCTGTAATAGTAATCATATTAGTATAACTAACAAGTTATAAGATATTTATATAACTAGTTATACAAAGTAATGCAAATCAACAAATTAGATAGTACAAATACTAGATAAATTCTTGTAGCTATGTAAATCTGTTGAAATTAGATAACAAGAAGACTATTTGAAAAGACCTAAGTAAAGAGGTAGCTAGATCTTTAACAGCTTTACTATAAAGTCTAGTTTGAGAAAATAAATATCAAGATCATAGTACTTAGTTATAATATCTAGATAGGCAAGAACTTTTAGCTTAAGAATCTTAAAATACTATCAATTAGATCATTAAAATAAACTAAAAGAAAAGATATTAGCCTAACCTAATATACTAATAAACTGATTGTAGTCTTATATAGGCTATCTGAATTAGAAGTCTGGACAAAAGGCTAGCAAAAAGCAAGGATATACTAAAGTACTGGATTATACTGTAAAGTAGATGCTAGGGTCTGTATGAACTCTACAAGAGCATAGTAATTAAATAATATAACTTTGTCTATAAGTATTAGTTCTACTATAGCAATACTTAGATCAGCTGTAAAAATAAATACAGAAGGCTCTAGAGAGTTTATTTTAAGAATAAAATAGTTCTGAGATTAAGACAATAATTTGAATATTTGAATATGACCTAGTGATATTAACACAAATTGCAAGTTCAAAGAGTTTAAAGTAAAACATTTAAGCAGAGATATTAGGTATAGTAATTGGTGAAAACTTTTGAGCAAACTTAAATAGGTAATATAGAAAAGTTATATGTATAGTCAATTGTATACTCTCTTGTAGTAGTTCATTAAATTATATTATTAAAAAAGTTGTTAATAAAAGTCAAAAGACCAAAAAGATTATTTTAATATTAAAAAAAAAACACAATAGTAATATATTACTATTCTGATCAACTAATTAAAATATAAAATTAAATATAATATAAGTATATAACTAATTTTAACTAGGAGTGATTTTATCTAGGTGATATCACCTATATATTTAATTTAATAGTCTATCAAATTATTTATTTTTATTAATTTTTTTTTATTTTATTATATCTAATCACACTCTCTTTTTCTATATCCAAATACACTTTTAAATAAAACTAACTGTGATTTTTTAATATCTAACTACCAAAGTTCACATGTCATTTATTTACCATGAAGCCAAAGAAGTTCTATTACACTTCATCAGTTTCTACAGGTCAAGCATCGAATACATTGTCATCATCGTCATCATCGTCATCATCGTTATCATCGTCTTATTTCAACGCCTATAATCATGATCAAATAGATAGCTCATCACCCTCTCCTTTAACATCTATGAACAGGATATTGCACCTGATTTTTCGTCACCTTGTTTTAATACATATGAACTCACCTTACCTTATTTTAGCTATGAATATAATATTGCAACCATTTCGTCGTTTTATCCAAATGCCTATAAGTACTATGATAATGTAAATACTTCATCATCACCTTATCCTGGCCCCTATGAATATGATAGTGCTATGTCAACCTATATTAATTTCCAAAGCTCTAGTGATGTGTTGACTGAATCAGATTTTGAGGCTCAACTGGAAGGTGCAGATAATGGGATTTATGATGAGAGGGAAAATAATAAGCACGAAGATAGTGAAAACGAGGAGGAAGAAAAAAATAATTTATTAGTACTATGTAAAGGAATGAAGTTTAGTACATGGGAACTTGCCGAATTATATCTTACCAATTATGCAAAGCAGGAGGGGTTCAGCTTTCGAAAGAGAAGATGGATTGTTGACTCCGATGACTACACCATAACAAGACAGTGAACATATGAATGTTCATATATTCAGATACATGAACCTGAAAAGGCTATTCTGGCAGAAGATAGGAGAGACAGAGATTCTAAAATGATTGATTGTTCTTGGCACATTAATTTGACATTCCCTAAAACAGTGAAAGAAGTTTGTATTAACAGTATTTTAGGTGAACACAATCACGAAATGAATACTCTTGTTACTAAGCTGGCATCAAAATATCGAAAGTTAATATATGAAATGTTTGAAAATGTCAAATTTTGAACTATTTATGGAAAATTAGACTTACCAACTCAATATAATTTGTTAGTTGCATCATTTCCAGGCCACATTATTAATAGGAAAGATTTAAGTAACGCAATTCAGCAGTTCAAAAGTCAGGCAAAACTTAGTAAAAATGATGCATGTAGAATGCTCAATAACTTATATTTAAAAAAAGAAAAAGATTCAATATGGATAGTTAAACCACGGTTTGATTTAGAGAAAAGATGACTTAACTCATTGTTCTGGATGGCTCCTGATCAAATTAGTGCTTATGAACAATATTATGATGTTGTAGTCATAGATACAACTTCCAAAACCAACCAGTTTGACATGATATTGATGCTATTTATAGTAGTTGATAACAATTTCAGAAATTTGATTGTAGCATCAGCAATTATTGAAGACAAAACTGAATCAACATTTACCTGGGTTTTGCAAAAGCTAAAAAATTCATGTGAAATTGCACCTATAGTGCTATATTCTGATGCTGATTCTGCTTTACTATCAGCTGTGCGAAAGAACTATTTGGATACATGACATCTCTATTGTATCTTCTACATTGATTTAAATTTAAGAAAGAAGCTTAAGGGTACATTACATGAACAGTTCAGGCCTTTTCATACTAGGTTTTTGGAGATGCGTAACACTTTGTGCCATAAGAAATTTGAATCAAAATGGGAAAACCTTATTAATGAATATCCAGCATGTAAAAGTTATCTTATGAATGTTTTATACCCATGTAAGACAAGTTGAGTGAGTTATGCCATAAATTGATATTTTACTATGGGAATTCAGAGTACCCAGCAAGCTGAAGTAACCAATAAAATTATCAAAGATAAACTCAACAGAACTTCACAGCTAACAGATGTTGTTAGAGAGATTCAAACAATATTTGATCAACAATCAAAAAAGGCAGTATTAGCTGAGTACAAAAATGAAATACCAACAAAAGGTATATCAACTATAATAGACAAATACTTCCCTGAGTTGGATAAGATGTTGAAAGAATGTCTCACACTACAAATACTTCAGAAATAACAAGATCAAATAGCCCAGTCAATATGCTATGATGCTGTATTAGTTGAGAATTGGTTAGCACTTCTAGAGGTAAGGATATTAGGTTAAAGTTAGAATTGAAAAGGTTGAACTTATTAAGTTTGAACCTATTACTAAATCTTTTTTTTTTTTTCGCTTTAGACAACTAATGACTCTTACTAGGAAGAAATGGCCAGAGAAGACGACTACGATCAGCCTCAGTCTTTATTTCCTTCTTTGCTCGAAGATATATCTCAGGATTGTGTTTGAGAAGTTTGGAAAATTACTAGACAAAGAAGACAGCAAGCAGATCCGCAATATATTATCATACTCAACGACAGCTTACACTTGTGCACATACCTTTGGCTTGTCAATCGTGGCCTCATGTATAGACATTTCTTTTGGGTTATGTCTTATTCTGTTAATGCACGATTTCATATTACACTAATTTCTAAACACTGGTACAATAATAATAGAATTAATAAAGATGAGGCATTTGTACCGATGTATCAAATTAAACAAATGGAGTCAAATGAGTTGCCTCAACTGTTATCATTTCAGCACCTTGTGAGGTTTAAGCAAACCTCTAATGTTGTACAGTCACATGGTCCTAAACAAAGATACAGATTTGGTATGGAATATGCGAAAAAGCCACTTGACTTGGCTATTCATGCTAATAAAGTTGATGATTTTGTTAATGAGATTGAACGTTTTATTGAAAAACTAAGAGGAATATGTCTGATCAAAACAAAAATGTCAATCTGATAAATGTTGAAGATGTTAGCATTAGAGATCTGCTATGGGTACAACACAAAGGTCGACAACCTAAAAGATACAAGTCTGGTAGTGAATTACTGAAAAAGATAACTGGAAATAAAAAGGAAGGAAGACATTGTCAAAAGTGTAGGCAAACTGGCCATTATGCTCCATGATGCCCAAATTAAGTGGTGTAACAATAGATGTAACAATGTATTGATATTATGTGACTAAACATAGTAAAGAATTAAATAGCAGGTTAGTAAAGAACATCCAAATGCTAGCACTTTACTGATGTGATATATATATATAAACTGTATATAGCAAAATATTTATAATAAACCTTTACACATAAGTGCATGCTAGTACTAGAATATATATATATATAGAACACCAAATTTTTAGGTCAGGGTTAGGGTTAGGGTTAAAATTAACTATACTAGTTAGCGAAAGCTATATGATAGTATTATCAGCTAGGCAATTTTTACTTAATGAACAACTATCTTTTATACAAGATCAAGTGTTTATAGTTAAAATATAACGATATTTGGAAATGCATAGCATTGTGTGTCTCAAGCTAAATAATCAATTGATTGAATTATAAATAAAGCTCGTGATTGACAACCAATCAGAGATGCAGAAGTGAACAGATAGAATGCACATGACAGTGTTGATCAAATATAGATGTAAAAACAGTGTCCTTCACTATGCTTCAAACAAATTAGATATGTAAGTAATATAGTAGATTTACTAAATCAGTCTTCAAAGTTCAACATTATAATCAATTAATCAATTATATGCTATAACAGTTATGACAATAATAGCAAAATTTGAAAGGCTGCTTTAGCAAACTTGTTTGTAGCAACTGTGTAACTTTTAGAACACCCAATATTAGCTATAGTACTTGTACATATGTATAATGATCAATAAATAATATAAATAGTATAGTGGTATTATATATATACATATAATAACTTATAAAATATATATAGTATATATATATATAGGAATATTTATATAATATTATATATATAGGTGATTTCACCTAGGAGGTAAGTTAGCAATAGTCTAGTTTTAATATAATCAAAATTACAAAGTTCTAACTCTAAATGCTTTTTCTAAAATTTTTAGATTAGAACTATTTTTCAAAAATTTATTGCTGATTATATTTGAATTTTAAATCTACTGCTTAAAGAATAACAATTTAATTACTGCATCAGAATTACTATTCTTTTTTTTTTTTTTATATAATTAAACTAGTTTTTTAAGAACTAGAGCTTTTTTATTCAATATAGTAGAACATGGTAGCTCATAGTCTGATTACCTCAGAGGAGCTATCTTACATTAGAGAGTATATCTAGTTATATATACACTTTTGGTTTTTAATTTAAGTAGTCTGTCTATATATAGGTTTTATACTAGCTGCTATACCTGCAACTCAATTATGGGTATTGCCTATTTAAACTCTTTATATTGCAATTCTTACTGTATTACTAGAATATTTCTATTATATGATATCAGTTGAGAAGTTCTAGATGCATACTTATATCTTTAGGACCTCTGTTTTATTTCATGCAGGTTATTCTCAAAACATCATTACTAAAGCCTTCTGTATCTCAATTTATAACTAAACCTAGTTTACAATCTTTGTAAAGTTTATACAACCCTAGTATCCTTCTTTTACAATCTTACTAATATCTCATCTACTTTTGCAAGTCCTCTTATACTACCAATTCAGTTAGCCCTACATGATGTAACTTTATGCTTAGATCAACTAGTAGCCAGATTAGTTAACCCTCTACTTAGAGTTTCTTGTCCATACAAGTCATCTGCTATAGGTTTTCTTCTTTAGATCAAAATTTTTACAAGTGGCACTGTCAAAAGTTATATTATTTCTTTACTCAGGATTTCCAAGCAGGCTTCTAATCTGAGTATATACTTTTCAAATTTATTCATGTAATATTGCACACTTCTAAAGTTAGTCTTGATATAACCAGAATTACAAGATTTACAAACTCCAGATTATAAATAAGTTTGCTAGAATAAAACCATTTTTTTAAAATCTGTTGCCAATAAAAATTGAACATTGGACTACTGTTTAGAGAATAATAACCTAACTATTACACTAGGATCATTATTCTCATTTTCTTTGCTTTTTATTATATTTCTTTTAAAGCTTCTATTATTTTTTAATTAGTATTTTTTTTTTTGTGTTAAAGACTATACTTTATAGTAGAGCTTTATTAACTTTTATTAGGTTAGTTATTGTAACTATTTTATACAGAGATGAAAGTATAATTAGTTATATGTGTAAGTTTTAATTGTCTATTTAAGTAGTCTGCTTTAAGGTTCTATACTAGATATTATACCTATAACCAATATTGTTACAGAACAGTTGTAAACATAAGTTTAAACACTTTTAAAAATTTCTGAACAAATAAATAAATTAAATTTGCTTAAAATTTTATTAAGTTAACCTATTTTAACTTTTTGAATAAAAATATTTAGTATTATGAAAAATATATAATTATATATTTTTTAAATTAATATATTAATTTTTAAATTTTGTATATACTGTAAACATTCTTGAATGTTTAGATATTTAAATGTTGAACATTTGGACATTAGACATAGTGAAAAAAATCTTAAACATAGTAGACATAACAACACTGCCTATAACCTATTAGAAGATTATTTATTTAAATTCTCTAATCATCTGTTCTGTCATAATGTAATACCACTATACCCCTTGTATATATCTAACTAATATACTGTCTGAGCAGTATAATAATTACTTTTTTTGTACTAGTTTTTAGACTATTATATATTTAGAATATGACACCTGCCAGTAAGATGCAAAAGGCACCTCTTGTTAACTATCTATTTATTTTACAAAACATTAACAATAGCTATCTTTGCAGATTTTACCCAAACCCTAGTACTGACTTCATAGCATATCTTTAGTACTTTTAATATACTTTTGCTTTTTGTTTTTAGACTTTTAATTCAGATAGCTTAAAAGAACTATGATCTATTTTTGGTATATCAAGGCTGGCTTGATATTCTTTTCTTTTGGTCTGAAATACAGTAGCCTAGTTGGTAGTACCCCTCATTTGAGGTTCTTGCTTGTCTAATTCCTTTACATTGATATCTGTTTCTAGATCTAGCCTTTACAGTAGTATCATTAAAGATCTGTGCTATCTTTTTATTTGATATTTTCAAGTAGGCTTTAGTTTCTCAGTTCTATAGATTTATATAATTATAAAAACTTATCTTAGATTTGCATTATCTGGTACTGGTTTTCATCCCTCTGTGTACCCAAAATTACACAGATGCCCTGTAAACTGCCAGTCATGCTAGTGTAATCATAGTTACAACAAAATATCATTGCTATAATACTATCTATGTATTATATAGGTAATTATTCAAATTTTTACTGTCAGTAGGTTTTGAATTCACAACCTACCACTTGGAAGATTAACAACTTATTCATTTTACTAAGTCATTACACTTAGCATTCTTCTTTAATTTCTGTTGTTTTACTATTTTTATTTTTAACTTTTTAATTATTATAAGTTTTTTATTTTTTAACTTATTTATCTTTATCTTTTTTGTTATTTGGTCTATTGCTATTTTAATTTTTTTTTTTTTGATATTAAGGTGACTTCTTTGGTCTTTTAACTTTTATTAATAACTTATTAGTGATGTGTTTCAATAAACTACTACAGAAAAGAGTACAATTAGCTATATATGTAACTTTTCTATATTACTTATTTAAGAAGTTTATCTGAAGGTTCTTACCAATTGCTATACCTAACACTTCTGCTTGGGTGTTTCACTTTAAACTCTCTAAATCTATAATCTATATTAATTCACTAGGTCATACCCAGATGCCCAAATTATTGTCTCATCTTAGAACTATTTTATTCTTAAAGTAAACACCTTAGAGACTTTTATACTTATTTTTATAGCTGATCTAAATATTGCTATAACAGAACCAATACTTGCAGCTAGGACTTAACCATTAAACTACTATGTCTTTGTAGAGTTTACTCAGACCCTAGTATCTACTTTATAGCATAATCTTGATACTTTAGTATATTTCTGAATTTCATCAAACTTTCAATTCAGATAGTCTATATAGGATTATAATTAGTTTATTAGTATATTAGGTTAGTTCAATATCCTTTTCCTCTAGTTTATTTTAATGACCTGGTTGGTGATACCTTTGAGACTTCTAATCCAGAGGTTCTTGCCTGTTTGGTTACTAAGACCTTAGTATCTGTTTCTCTGAGCTAGTCTTTACAATAGCACTATCAAAGATCTAGCTATTTCTCTATTTAGATTTTTCCAAATGAACTTCTTGTTATCTAATTTTAATAGATTTACATAGCTATAAGGACTTATCTAGTGTTTGTACTACTCAGTTGTCAGTTTGCATTTCTTTAAATAATTTTAATATTATACAAATGCTCTATAATCTGCCAGTTATGCTGATGCAACTGCTATTATAAGTATCCTAACCCAATTATTAGTAACAGTTGTTATAATACAAATATTATATAAATAATTATCTAAATTTTTACTATCAATAAGATTTGAACATTCAACTTACTACTTGAAGGGTTGACAACTTAACCATTTCACTAGGTCATTATATTTCTTCTATTTTAATTTTATTATTATTTTTTTTTATTAATATATTTAAGATTATATTAATTTGCTATTAATCTTATATATTACTAACAGCTATCTTTTATTTATTTTCTTTCTCTTGTGTATTTATTATATTTGCTAATTTTTATTACTAGTTTATTTTTTCTGCTTTGTATTTGCTAGTGTTTTACTATATCTTTTTTTTTTTAACTATCTTTTTAACTGTTTACTATTTTGTACACTATATATTACTTATTCTTTTTTTCTTTTATTTTCTAATATATGCTTTTACTTTATTTTATTGTATAAATATTATATCTATTTGTATTAAAGTGTTTATTAATTTTTTTATTTACTTGTTTTTTGAGTATTTTTAATTTTATTACTTTAAACCATTCTGCTTTTTTACTTTTGTTTAATTAATTTTAGTAGTTTTTAAACTGCCATTATATAATTAGTTTATTATCTTTTGTACTAATAACTAGTTTAAGTATATTAGATCTGTTTTACTTATTTTAGT